GGGCTATCAGCTACTCCACCCAGTTTGGTATCGTCGGCAAACTTGCTGAGGGAGCACTCCAGCCCTTCATCCAGGTCGTTAATGAATAAGTTGAACAGGACCAGACCGAGAACTGACCCCTGGGGGACACCACTAAGTACAGGCCTCCAGCTGGACTCCGTACCATTGACAACCACTCTGTCACCAGCTCTTTTTTTAAAGCACTGCTCTTATACGTTTCAGTTGCAGCAGTAATTTTGTCAAACTGATTATGACATGAGCAAGAAGTGTTCAGGTAATTTTTAGCATCTTCTTGAGTCACACTCCAGACATGCAGTTTCTTCCCTACTACTTCATACACTACTTCATGTAGTGCATGAACATTATCTAACACCCATTTGGGATGATGAGTAATTATGCTCAGCGCCCTCCTTGGAGCTCTTCAGCTGTGGACATTGTAAAAGCTTAATATAGGGCTTTTACAGTTCAAGTAATTTAGAATTGCTTATGGAAAACATATCCTAAGGTCTTCTGTGCCCATTTTATTTCCATATTTTATGCTCTACTGGGATTAAACTTTCTCCTACTGTGATTAGCTTTCTCCAGGAAATACATCAAAGGAAAAAAAAGGCAAAAATGCCTAGATTGTACCTTCCTGCCTCCTTTTTCCTTTTTTCAAGCCAGTAACTTCTCCAGCTTTGAGATGTTCAGAGAAATATTTTTTAAGAGACAATTTAGTTCAGTTAAAGTCTGCTTCTGCTATCCCAGAAAAATATATTTAAAAAAGTTATTGAAAATTTAATGATCTGATAGGTCACATACAGCCTCACAGGAGTGGAGAGGCGGCCCCTGCTGGCAAGTCTGATGAGGTTTTATATGGATGGCGAAATGTTTCCTGCCGTGTATCATTATCAGCTATACTATCTTTTAAGTTTTCTCAATAGACATTAAATCCATCTTTTCTCCCCGTAAGTGTAGTGGAATAGTTTAGGCTCTCTCTTTTTTAATAGCCTTGGAGAAATATTTTCACATGGGGACCTCTCATCTGACATAAAAACTGTTCTTTTGAAGGGCTAGGGTGTTTCTCTAGAAGTACTCATACACTGAGCCCACATACTGCCAGCAATGCTTTGGTCTTCATGCAGATGTGGAAATGCTGAACAAAACTGTATTCACAGTGAAATTTTCCAGAGCAATAATAAATATCACAAGACTCTTCCGGTTTAACAATAAAATAAACTTAGTAAACACAGGGTAAAAAAAAACAGTGCCTAAAAAATAGTTAATATTTGAACTGGCCAACATTGATTTTACTATTCCTGGAGCCATATTTAGAAAGTGAGGGAAAAAAAAGAAAAAAAAGACAATTACCAAAACAAAAAGACATGATCAAATTCCATACAGGAATAACACATCTGATCATTTCATGAAACACAAGAACTGAAGAGGCAAGAAATGGGAATTTTTGACACACAGCTTTACCTATTCAAATGTACCTTGAGCAGTAGCTTCATCCTGACAAGAGCAAACAAGCTGTCTGCATTTCTTTATGTTTACTGTGGGCTCTCCTCCACAGCTGCCCTGCTTTAACTTTACTGAGATTTCCCCAAATTTCATCAAGTCTAAATTTCTTTAATAAAGCTGCTTCTAGCACAGTTTAAACTGAATTACAAGTTTTGGGTTTTTTTTTTTTAACCATAGTAACATTCTGTTTCAGTTCTATATGAATTGTCACATAATGGAAATTGCAAAATTAGCCCTGGTACTTTCGTATTTAATTCATTCCCTTCAAAAAACTACTAAAGTGATCTCTGTTTAAAACTACTCTTGATTCTCACAACATTTTCAACTTTCTGCATATTATGGCTGTGAGGGTTTTTTTCTTGCATCTTGGAAGATTTAGTTTATGTATCTCTACTAAGACATTCATAGGGGCGATTTTGCACAAATAGTTGCATGAAAATCTTTCATAGTATAATGAGCTGATTGTAAAAGGTGATTTCTCCAGCCTGTGGTACTAAAAAGCCAGAGCTCAAGGGAGCATTTTTAAACTATTTAGAATTTTGGATCGTCTCAGGATCACAACCACAAAAACACTAACCCTTTGCACTTAGCAGGTGTTTAAAGAAAATAATGAAATTTAGGCAGTGTTAATAGAGGAAAAAAAAAGCTGTTTTTGTTCAATGGACCATTTATATTTACAGATAACAAGAGAGATATGTACTTGCATTTGATGTTTAAATTCAATTAATTTTTCTTGGCATTCCACCTGCTAGCATGACTGGACAATCTCTGGAGCAAGAATGATAGTCTAATGTAGTAATCTCTATCCTAAGGAAGATACTGCTTCTTGAGAATTGGAAAGATGGAAAGAGCTACCATTCTGCTTCGTCTATTCAGTGAGAGGACACTATGTTGACACAGATGCAATAGCAAGCAGTGTGTGTTACCAAGCAGCATTCTTTACACAGCTTGGTTATGAACAGTCCTCCCTGGAGCCATCCTAGAAAATATGCAAATTACACAGGCTAAGCTATCTGCCTGGCCATATATCTGCTTCAGTCTAATTCTCCACCTCATGGAAAGTGTTCACAATATAACAATAATATAATTAATGCAGACTTAGGTCCTCTAAGTTTTCATGTTTTCAAAATGTTCGTTAGGAAAAACAAAACAAAAAGGCAAACCAAAGAAATCTTAAGACAGTATTTCCTGACAGACTGCTGATAGCACTGATAGATTTAGGGTGGGTACAGGAAACTGAAACATTGTTAAAATGCACCCCGAACCTCTCCTGCAAAGCATGCAAATCAATTCTTATACTGCTGTAGGCAACACAGTTCAGATGAATGACCTGCTAAAGCAAAGATCCTAGGCCCTTCAGCTCATGGCAACAATGTAAAGGCAAGTCCAGCAGTAACATGTAACACATCAGTATGCTCATATACTGCTCAGATACCATGTTTGTCAGCTGTAACTAAAGTCTACATATTCCTCAGGCAAACATTACACGTGATGTAAGACCAGCAACTACCTTACATTCCAAGACAGCTGACAAGATCAGGCTGCAGCTCAGCCACGGGCTCATGTCTTCAGGCTGATCCGAGTGACTCAAGGAGCCGTCAGGCGGCCAGGATAGCACTTCTCACGGTTTTACCAAATTCCATAGTCAGTCCTGAATATGGAATATTTCTGAGGAGTGAATAATAGAAATGACAGTTTACATTTTTCAAAATGATCTGAAGCTAATAAAAATATCTTGCAGCACCCTAGATGCCTCCCACAATGCAGTGACATAATGAACTGAGTCACATCCTGCACCTTTGTCACTACAGCTGAAGGCTTAGCTACAGATGAAGATACTACTGCCTTGCTATGGTCTCCAATGCTTAAAGGCTTAGGCTAACTTTCTGGAAAACATTAGCATGTAGTGAATTTGCATGTCCTCATCTAGTTAAAACACCTTTCCCTTCTGTAGGGACAAAATATAATTGAAGTCACAGTCCACGTTCAACTTCCATTTTGTTTTGTAATTATATCTATTTCCCTATCCATCCTCTTAAAGTTTCTCCTAGGACCAGCAGAAGTGATGGAACATACTATAGCTGTCTCCATACCTTCTATTATATCAACAGAACTAAATCCTTTATAGTCTGGCTCAGGTTACTTCATGATTACATCAAGTATTTAGAGGCTCCAAAATCGCTAACAAGCATTTCCCTCAAAATATCAGGATCACATTTTGCCTAAACCCTAGAAATACTTTTTACCAGCTTCATAAACTTGCCACTCTCTGTAGACAGTAAGACAAAAACATGGTGCAACATATTAGGTTTTACTAAATACTATCAACTGTACAGAGATTCAAGACCCAGAAGAAAACAAGCAGACACACAAACCCCAGTTAATTTACAGTAACTGAGTCTCAGTTCAGGACTGGCCATAGAACTCACCCTCTGCATTTGAACTAAGGGGGAAAAGAGAAAGGATCATGATTATTGCATTATTGCATGGTCCTCATTCAAGGACCATGAGGTGTCAGTGCATGTGTGTCATCTCAGCAAATTTCTATGGAAGCTGTACTCCTAAGACACCTATTGACCAGTATAAGGTGTAGCAATATGGCATAATGTATTTTTTGTAATTTAAGGCTGAACCTATAATTAAATCAATTACATGTACATAACAGAATTCTACATGGTTTTACTTAAAGCTCAAAGCTAGTGGCTGTCTTCTACTAAATTAATTATGTTAATCAAACAGAAACCATCCATAAAATAAATCTCCTGGAAGATGATTTGACTGAAAGTGCAAATATTTAATGGGAAATGAGTCTTAATTAGCTGCATTTTAAGTTTCTAAAGTTGTATGTCAGGTTAAAAATGCGAGTCACAAGAACAGCTACCTTCTATTTTATGATCAGTTTTATAGCACAGTAACAATACATTGCAAATGAAAACTTCTGTTTTGATTTTCCTTAATGTCCATATATTTACTTGGGGTTTCATCTATGCTGGGTAAATTTAAAATTGTAGTTGATAAGCCAGCTAATTAAATTCAGTTAAATAAATTCAATATGGTTTTAGTATTGGAAAATAGAATCCATTCTGTTCCAGTATCAATAAACAATGGAAGTGTACAGCCAATTCTGCAATAAGTCTCCATTAAACAAATACTGTATTTTTTAAAGCTAATTAGAACACAATATATCTAATTACAATGTTATTCATCGTGCTTACAATCATTTTTACAGTATAAAAATAATGCACATGTAACATTAAAAAGTAATATTTGCTTTATTTTTTCTTTAAAAAAGCTTTTTGTTATTTCCCTAATGAGTACCAGATTCAAAAACTTTTTAATTAAATTTTTCTGTACTTCAATGTATTTTAAATTGAAAAATGAGGTAAAGTGGTAAAAAAAAATTGTTCATACTGCTCATTTCTACTACAGCTTTTCTGTAAAGACTTGAGAAGGAAGGCACCTATTTCCTACTAAGGAAATATCATGTCTGATTGTAGTTACAGCAGGTTGTCCCAAAACTGTGAGACGACCAGAAGAGAACACTCCCGGGAGCGGTAACTCCCCGCTGGACTTCCAGGATACTGTCTCACTGAAAGAAAGGATGGCCATGTATCAGGCTGCTGTGTCCAAGGTAGAGAGCAGCAGCTCCTCTGCTAACGTAAGATATCAGTATTTATCCTCTTCATTCTGTATTGGTTTTACATAATGATCTATCTTGTATTCTTTATTCATCCAACCTTTCAGATTGATCTCCACATGGATTAAATTTGAAACCTGTCTTGCTATATCTACCTAGCAAATATATTAATACACTTGTATCTCCCTCTATTCAATGTTTTCTTTATCCAATACCTTTAGACTTTCAGCCTGTTCATTTTAATTCACTGGAAGTACTTTTCTTTTTCTTCCACTGTTGCACGTATTTCATTTACTAGGAATATCTTAGTCAACATGTGTGCGAGAAAGATTAGAAACAGAGTTATTCTATTAACTCATGATTAAAAAAAACACAGCATTTTCTGTATACTAGGAATATTTAAAATAACCAAATTATAAAGTCATATTCAAAAGTAAATTAAATTTAGACCTCTTGCTGTTCAAACTAAAGAATATGAAATTACCGTATTATAAAACAAGTATCAGCTATAAAGCTTAAAAAAGTTTTATAATAAATTTATCCAAAACAGCCATTTATAATGTGAAAACAATATTTAGAAAAACTTCATTCTTTTTTTTTATTATTTTTGACTTAACTATCAATGGCTATTTTACTTAAGAATAACATTAAGAATTTCCGTACCGTACAATATTTGGTCAACACAGCTTGTACTCTATTAAAATAGAGATTTGCAATGTCATTACACCTCTTCAGGCACTTTTTTTTTTTTTAAATGGAATTTACTACTTATAATGGTAAAGATTCAAGGCAAACTCCATACATGTTTCAAATATAGACAGTCCTTTCATTCTCTGAAAGTCAATTTACAGATTCTGCACAGAGATCTTTGAACATTGAAGAAATCATTGGGTCCTCAGACACCTAGAGATGAACATGCAGCTAGAACAACAGGATCTATTTCACAGAACCACTTAGCAATTAGTGTTAAACAAATTCTTGATTGTAAAATTCCAAAAAATAAATTCTAGATGGTAGAATTCCTTAAGAACTTCAAAATTTGCAAATCATTTTTGCTAGATAAGTAGAAGTCCTAATAGGCCAAAGAAATTTAACAGATAATCTTAATAGTATGAATATGATGAATATGAATAGGAAGAATACTGATGAAAGCCCTGCAAAATACTTGCCTTTTTATACCTGTTACAATACTAATATTAATTCATGTACTATTAAAATAAATTTGCAGATTATATCAGTTGAAGTTGCATATAAAAGGCTAGAGACACAACCATGTGCTTCCAAATTTTCTAATTTCAATCAATAAGCATTCTATTGCATTGCTATTAAATATTTTTTTAAAAAACTCAGAAAAGTATATTCTTACTGCAAATGAAAAACAACTGGCCATATTTTATTACACTAGGCTTCAGAGGAAACAGAGCCAAGTACGGTGCCTGGCGGCCTTGCAAGAGTAAAGAAACAATTTGAGAAAGGCCAGATGACCTCATCACAAAACACCTTTGCTCAGTACCAGCACAAGTCTGTACAGGTAACAACAAGATTTTTAATATTAACAAATGAGGTATGGTCTGCTAGACAGCTTAAGATTGGTTTACTGAACAGTTTTCATTATAGCTAAGACATTGTTTCTATAATGCTTGTACTCGTGGAATTTTCTCTTCAAGATATACTGCATGATATGGTAATTATGTGGTAATCATATACTTCTCATGTAGATGAACTCTCAATAAAGACAATTCTAGACTTATAGGAAATACCTAAGTAAAGCAAGCTAGTATTTTAAGAGTATTTGGTGCTGAACCTTGTCTGTAAGATTGTAAGTCATTATCAGCTATTATGGTAATAGTTTGCATAAATTGCATTGGAAGTGATGTTAAACCACTTTGTTTGGAATGGAGTTTGCTGCTTCCATTGAATTAAATTTAATCAGCTCCTCTAAGCAAATCAAAAATTGTATCAAAGAACCCAGATGCTACATAAAAATACACAGAACAGCTTCCAAGTGTCATTTCAGATAAAGGGTCTTTGGATTTTATTACTTCATTAGCATACATCAGGAAAAAATTGCTGTAGGAGATAATGACTTTGGACTACATGAAGTCTGGTATAATAAAATTTCAAAAAACAGTAATGCACAGTAAATTGCTTTACCATCCTGCATTTACCTAAGAGTTTTAAAGTAATATAGCTTTCAAACTGTGTAGAACAGGACACACTAACATTAACACTAAACTCCCTCTAACCCCTTTGTTTTTGTGTTAAATAAGTATCATATCTAATAGATACATTTCCTAAGTTATACATTAATACTGTATCAATATCCACAGTCCATGCACTCAAAAAGCAAGCAGGAGAAACTGCTGTCTTCCTTTAATGATGTATTTGTATCCAAAGGCAGATCAATTTTGAAAAACAAATAAAGTATAAGTGGCAGTATCTGTTACATTTCTATTAGAAACTGGTCTTGCAAATAAGGCTGACAAAAGTACATCTGTACACTGTAACCAATACTTTTACCAACCATTTTTTTTTTTCACATAATGACACACATTCTCCTTCTGCTACATACAAATACGCTCACACACATCCTCTCATCTCTCGTGAGGCTTGACAGTCATTTCTGTACTGGTAATAAGTCCATGGGTGATTCCCTCCTACAAGGGTTTTCCTCATGTCTAAACAGAATGGCAGAACTAAGCATTTTCTCACTGAAAAGAGGTGCTCGTGCAGTCCTGAGTCAGGCAACCAGTCCTGGAACTGAAACCCAACTCCTTGTCACATCAGTAATACGACAAAATCCTCTAAATCCATCCATAGGTTGCATTAATTTCACATAACTGACTTCAGGTGAGGATACTGTATTATAATGCACTGGAGAGCTAGACTGACCCCATTAGCAGAGGTATCCTGATTGACACTGTCCTGGTAACAGGGGCCTTAACTGATAAAGCAGTTTAAAGCTGAACACAAGAGCATTCTGTCACAGCTCTGGCAATATTTAAAAACAGTTACAAATAATTATACTGTAACTAGCTTTCATATCTAGTATGTCCAAATGGTTGTTTCCAGACCAATTAGCTAATAATGTAAAGATCATATTTGCATAGCAAATCTTTGAAATAAAAAAAAAATAATCAGTCTAATGTTTCACTAGAGGGATTAATAGTGACATATATTCTATATATTCTGAAACTGCTTATTTCTACTACCAAGGATTACGTTCTATTACGGTTATGTCCCATCACATGATTTTTTCTGCTTAGAAGTACTTTAAATCACCTGCAACAAAATGTTTCAGGTTGCACAGAGAGATGACTGAGGTGAGATTCTCTTCAGGTCTGCCATCACGTGTTTGAAAACTGTCAGTTTTTCAAATTTTTTTTTCAAATTTTAAGCATTGCTGGACTCTCCTGCATTTGTAACGTAAGCTCTCCCATTTTCACTGAGAGGACAGAAAATCAGGCCTGGCTTCATCACTTCATCAGTCTCTATAAGATCTAGAGAACACCCACCTCATAAAATCAGCCTTGCTATGCTGACAGCTAATTAATTTAGCACAAACTACATTGCCATATTGACTAGTCAGTGCTTAAACCCAGTTATGTGCTGAGGATTTGTTTCAGTCTCACATGATAGAATCTGAAGTGAGGTTTTTTTTTAAAAAAAATGCAATGTTAAAATAATGTAGACTCAGCTGCAAAATAAACCCTCATGTATGAAAGTCTCAGATTTACAGTTACCTGTATCCTTTTGTGTGTGTGTGTGTGTGTGTGTGTGGTGTGTGTGTGTGTGTGTGTGTGTGTGTGTGTATAAATATATAGAGAGAGTTTTTCCATTACACAATTCCTTTTTTTTTGCCACCACAACACCTCTGCCAAAGTCAGTAGACAGGCTGGAGGACACTCAAAGAATTAATCCGGGCTATGTAGGGAGAAAGGCTTTTTGAACTCTCTTGATCAAATTAGATTAAAAAGGTTAAAAAGAAAAAGATAAAAGACTGCAGGAAAACTGTCTTGTGATAACACTGGGTGAATGAAACTAGGAAAACCCAAAGCTGCTTCTGCCTTTGCATCATGTACTACTGAGTTATTTAAAGCCCAAATTTTCATATTACTCTCCTGACATTCCAGGTACCATACTTGAAAGCAAGAACATCTTTCTGTGTAAGAAAGATGTATTTGACTTGACATAAATTGACTGAATTTCATCCTAAAATATTTAAAGAACTAGCTGAAGCAATCTTTAACTATTACCTGAGAGTCTTATAGTGTATCTTTGAGAACTGAGAATCTCTCAATGAGAGCCTGGAGAAAAACAAATACAGTGAGCATCTTCAAAAGTGAGGGGGAAATAAAAGAGGATATAGGGATTTACAGGACTAAATTCAGTATTTGAAAAGCTGCTCAAGCACTGTTGAGATACACACAGAGAATACTGAAGTAGTAAGAAGCATCCACCATATATTCTTCAAGGACAAAATACATTTGGAAATAAACAGAGCTATCACTTGTCACGGTGCACTGTGACATGGAGAACTTGCAAAATAAGGGTCTATAAATTTCTTTATGCTTAGTATCTCCCTAATGATTTGGATTAACAGAAACTAGAATTTGTACGGTTTGTGAATACTACTGAACTGGAAGAGGTTGCAAGTGTCCTGCAACGTAGAACTTGATTTCCAGCCAGTAACTGGCAGTGGCATGAGATCTGAAAGACAGAATTCAACACGGCAAATAAAACACAGCATTTAAGAAAGAAACAAGTCACAGAGCAAAAATGTGAAATGACAATAATTAGCTAGAAATGTGTGATGATGGGCAACAGATTCAGTAGAAAGTATGACAAAAAATAAGGTCTTGGAATATATGAAGCACACAAGAGGTGGATTGTAAGTAATTTGTCCCAGCTCAGAAAAAAATCCCAAATAAGCTATAGATACTATGATGACATTTAAAATTTATCTAGACAACTGCTGTTCAGAAAAAGTATGCATAATCCTGCTTCAGACTAGAAGGACGAGCTAGTAACTTCTTTTGGGTCTGTTCTATTCCTGCACTGATTTATCATTTATTTTGACCTTTCTTTAATACTTACGCACAAGGGGGCAGAGTTACATATGCATGTGCACAAATTGAATTCAATTTTTATGTCTTCTGAAGACTAGAATACTAGAACATAACATTTTCAAGTGCAATTTTGTTTTATGCTGCTCCTTCTAATGGATATACTATTTTTGCCATTTTATTTCTTTTCTATTTCATTATATTTTCAGCCAGAGTCAAGAACTTTAAAATAACAGTTTGCTATGTAAAAAGTCAGGATTATCAAAACAATCTAAATCACTGCAGTCTCAAGAACTAGGCTGAAATATCTCAAAATGACATTTATTCTCATGAGATTTTCAGTTATGCCTGCTCACTCAGTCTGGAAAGATAGGGAAAAAGTCTCTTGCCATGTCTAATACTTCTGCTGTGCTGTTCAGTACCTTTTAGAACACCAAAGTCTAAACTCTGTGTGTGCATATAAATACATGTATACACATAAATTCAAAATGAAAATATATAAAATTAACACTAGATTAAAAAGCATAACATCCCAAATTATTCTAGCCCATAGATCCATGCCTTACAATGTTTCTGTTATAGTATTTATAGTACAATATCCTCAATACCTAGCTTTATGTTCTTTGACTTACGCAGTCTAATGACTATAGTAAAAAATCATAACACGAAAAAAAAAAGCATGTTTTGCTACATAAAAATTTCAAACAGAATGACTCTTCTGTCTGAACTTCCTATGTTCTTCTGAGAGCGGAGACTTTTCACTCCATTGCAATATGGAGATTGATATTTGTAACTCACATTAACATCAATAGGACAAATCTGATTCTGTTACTCAGCAACTTCACTTACAAGTATCTCTAAAAGTTCAGAAGGACTGAAGTCTGAAAGAGAAAAGAAAAACAAAATTTCATGTCGTCACTGTAATAGTTGCATTTATTTCTTTCCCCCATAGCTCGATTTTCACTTTTAAAAAATTTGCTCATACTTTTCTGACATGACTAACCATGTTGTCATTTATGTGGTCAAAGGAATGCAGAAATACATGCAAAATTACGTGACCTTTCCTCTCACTCAGAATCAAACAATTTGATTTTGTTGATGAAAAATTTTGAAGTCTAGTTCTCTAAAACTATGATAGCTCTATTTTTTCAAAGACAAATTCGAAGCACACTTACCAATATATTTACCCTCCACATCTAGCTGAGGATTCTCATTCAAGGCATCAGCAGAAATAGTCACGTTCACAGGAAATAAAATCACTTAGACTGTATGGAATAGTCTTTAAATTCAGGTTAAATAACTTACTGCAAAGTCGTAAAATCCCATTTATAGCTAACGTAACTGCACTCTCACGGAAAATGGGATTATACACTTAAGTAGTCAGAAGTCAAGGTCACTGAATTACTCCTTGGTCAAAACACAGAAATCATGTGGTTTGGACACAGAAGTTCAGATCTAGATATATTCAAAATATTAACCAAAGCTTATATGGGAAAGCAACACATTAAAAATAATTTAAACAGCTGAACTGAACATTTTATTCAAACAGTTTTGACACAAAATGTGTCACTTTTTATTCAACACGATTTTGTCAGCTATGCAAACAATATTTATTTTTATTTTTTCTCACGCCAGTGTCACTACTCACACCTCTCTCTTTTGTAAATGAAATGTATGTCTTGTAAAATATTATAATAATGGTAGGGCATGCTAAAATCCCTCACAGAATGGTGAGCAGCAATTAATGCTCACAAGTAACTGTGATGTGCTCACAAACAACCATTGTTAGTGCAAAGATCTGGTCTTTATCTTGACTGCAGGATTTGTAAGCCTCTATTACACTCAGCCACCAGGACACAAAGAGGTTGTGATTTCTTCACTACTAATGATTCTGAAAGTGCCAGCCTACAATGCTTTGCTATCTATCATCTGGAGCACAAACTGCGTTCACACACAGAAGATGCTGAACATTCAGCTTAGTGATCCACAGACTGAGGGGTTCAGAAAGCAGTATAATTACCAATTTTCCATAAACATTGCTCAAAATTCCTCACATCAAATGCAAAAATCACCGGTTTTCATTGGCAAAAATATATAGATGGACAATGCAAGTATAAAATCAGTGACTGAAAGTAAAATTCCCTGAATCAGAAAACAGCTGCTACCAACCACTCTGCAAATGAAAATAATTCCTTTCATCTTGCCATGGAAGCTGTAAAATCACAGTTAGAACTGTTTGGAAGGATACAACAGCTGCTCAGACATAATCTCATTATCCAGTGTCAGACCCAAGCACTTTCCAGCAAATGATCTTAACCTCCTACATAGGAAGGATGAGTGAAATACACTGAAAGCAGCTGATTCACACTCAACAGTGCCGTGCTGTGTTGGTGATGGCACAGCTATAGCTAAATCTCCAGATCTTTGAGGGTCATTCTAGATACATTTTTAAATATTTCTAGTAGAGCAATTGCTCATTTTCCAGTGATTACAGAGAATAAAACTGAATAATAACATGACATTTTTAATGAATGATAAAAATCCAACCTTTTAGTGAAAACCTTCCATACAGTGGTCAAAACAGTGTAAAAATAATACAAAGCAAGTTCAGAGATGAACTGCAGAATTACTTAGTCTCTAATAAGTCTTTTATAAGAATCAGATAATACTGAGATAAGAACATTAGTGTGGAAAATAATGCATAGATTTTGAAGAAGAAACAAAGATCTATCCCAAGTAAAACATCAGTTAGTCATTCTGTTGTTACTAATTTTATAACTGACATTAAAGGCTGACAATTCACTTCCACTGCTGACTAGAGGGAACTACAGGTTTGTACATATGGATAGTTTAGAACAATTGTTTCAAAATATGCTAAAACATAGTCACTGTATAGGACACCTTCACACAGAAGTTATAGGATGATCCTAACGTACATGGCATGTCTTAATAATGTCTTATTGCTCAACTAAAATAAAGACATTTCCAATGTTAGTTAGGCTTTTTGTCCTAGTAATGACTTTCAGACGTGACCCTTGTATTCTTTCCTTTTTTAATACATACAGAGCATATATAGAACAGCATACTATGTATATAAGTATACACGTTCAAATTCTCAAAGTTTTTTTTGAAGGTATTTTTGTTTGTTGTCAGAACAAACTATAAAAAAAGTCAACACAAAAAAAGCAAACCTTGTTTAAAATACACAAAACAAATTACTAAAAAAAAATATTGGCACATTTTGCAGCAAGACTTCTATGGAAATTATTGCAGCGTGGAGCTAATAAAATTGATATAGGGGCTACTAACATATAAAACTCATGCAGCAATTATAGTTCTCTTCAGTAATGAAGAGAGGCATCTGAATGCCTAAATATGTACTTCTGTAATATAATAACACCATATAAGTATACAGTATAAAGACTTATCCTCAGATTTACATCTTTATTTCTAAGTAGCAGTGCTTTAGTTTGTAACAAATTCATTATTAATCCTGGTTATAGTATATATTACTTATACAGTATTTATGCCAGTATTTAGAGACCCATCAGGACAGTGTGAAACCATGGGTAGTTCTACTCTCAACTTCTTGTGGATAAATGCTCAAGGCTTTTTTAGCAGCATTTTATAAATATAATTTCAATCAGCCTTTTTCACACACACAAAAGATGAGAACTTGCACTTCTCCCTTCCTCTTCCTCCCTGTATACCTACAGCAGGGCCATGTTATTTTATTGTCAAAATATGGCCCATAGTGTTTCAGCTGTGCTTTAGAGAGCTATGGTTGTTACATTAAACTATTATAACCTTTTGCAATATGGTAACTTTTCATAAGTAGTATGGAAGTTACAGCAATAAAAGAGCAGTGATGTTCAGATTAGATACGGCTTCTGACTACATTAAGCCTAATTATATTCTTTTAACACCTCATACCATTCAAAGGACACACAATAACAAAAATCAGTATATTGTCTTACAAATGAGCTCTTCCAGTAATGAGAGCTTGATGTACATATCCAAAATACAGAACATTCACATTAGAGTAGAAAAGTATATTAAATAAAAAAAACATAATATGGAAAAGCATATATGCAGAAAATGAAAAGCATATACTACATATACTCCTTAATCAGAGAACAAATTGCACCTGACTTTTTGTGAACTCCTCCTTTTCAGCTTAGTATCAGTATCATGTTCCCTCCTAAGTTCCCTCCCATGTGCTCTCACACACTGACAACTGTTGCACACACAGGATGTGCAAGTGTAAATCACACTTTACCCGGCACTCCTCAGGCCTCGCCTACACTTTGACAGTTCAAACCTGCCAATAGGATAAATTTGGAGTCTTGAAAATCATTCAGCAGGCCAGTAACTAGTAAATTTAGTCTACCTTTTGTTAGTATGACTTTAATCCTTAGTTTTAATTTTATAGTTGAACCAGACAGTTTTATTGCACTTGGAACAAAGCTCAAACCCTGCAAAGACAATACTGCTTTTCCATCACAGACCCCTTGTGGCCCACTATATGGCAGACATTACAGGTCAGCCACTAGATGTTCCACTATATGGATTCAACACAAATGTTAGCAGAGTCACAAACAATGTAGCACTCGTTAGTGAGAAGCTGCAGCAACAACCATAACTTCATCACTAGCTGGCTAAGGCAAAGAACTCATTTCTTGCCCCACGCCTTGCTGGAATCCAAGGAGGTGCCAAGTTTTGAGCCGCAGGAAACTTCAGGCTCTCTTGCTCTGGCTGCCTCAGCAGCCCCAGCAGCCCAGTGCCGCCTCCATTAACATTGACTGATCGCCAGGGAAGCTTCTGCTGGAGGGACGAGGAGCTCCTTTCATTTAAAAGCTCATGTTCAATAGAAACTAATAGGCAAACCTTTTCACAAAGGAAACATTTAATTTGACATGAGTGAAATGATTTGTTAGATGTCTCTGTGTGCATGTTAGTGCACAAGAGAGGAATAGAGGTAATTGATCTATTAATATCAATCCTCAGGATATATTTCTTCTAATCATTGAATATCAAAGAACTCCATGGAAACTAGTAATGGGATGAAACACAGGTTCAGTAACATGCTCCAAATCAGCAAACAAATCACTGGCAGAATCTGGAGTCAAACTAAGCAAAAAATCTCAAAAATTAGCTCACGCAAACAGCTAGAACAATGCTTTAAATTTTCAACTATATGCTCAGTATACGCTACTGTTGTTGGACTTCCAACACAATGGCAGCCCATGTATTTTATACAGTTTTCTGGTTAGCCTGTGAGTCAGTTTCCATAAACACAAATCAGCATCTATTTTTGCATCTGAATATGCATATCTCATATGCAAGAAGTCACTATCTGTAATATAGAGAAATTATATTAACCTCTATGAAGCTGTACGGACCTCATATTTGCTGATAGGAACGAGCTGATGTCACAGCATTTAAAGCCAGAACTACCTTCTTATTCTCTCCTTCACCTTTCCACCCTAATTACATATTGTACTTATCCATCGAGCTTTCAGTATCTGCTGATCAAAGTCTGACTGCACTGCAGTAACAGAAATGACTTTGCAGCTTCTCTGATATAAAAAAGCCTGTTGCAAATCTTACAGATACAAATATCAATAATTGCATTCTATTGAAGAGGGACTGATTTAGATTGAAGCATTTATATTGTAACTTATTTGTGATAGACCTTCACAGGTATAAAAAAAAAAATCCGATTTTCTATTAGCTGCAAATGTGCAATTATTTTTATTTATCTTCAGGAGATGTCAAGTAGTAGGCAACACACGGTATCAAGTAGCAGCAGGGAAACTGAAGACAATGAAATCACCTCCAAAGAAAGTCACATGGAAACCCTTCAAACCAAAGAGGTAACTGAGTCAATTAATTCTGACATTAGACAATTTTCCCAAGATACTGATACACTTTCCTTCTTCCTCCGTAACCACACAGTATAGCAAAATATTAATGTTCTGCTAATAGCCTCCCTTGTTTGATAGTATGTAATACTTTTTAATAGGGGTTTTTGAAATACTACATCAAAAGAAAATCTGAATTGGAATCCAATTTAATTATCACATTAAAACACACTTATAAAACTCTTTGTTTGGGTAGAAGTATGGAAAACTCTTACTGTACACTATCCTGTAGTAAAATGATGTTTTTTTAAGCAGGTTTCTCATCGTGAGCAAGTTACTCATGAGAGAACAGAGGTTTCTACACTCTTTCAGCACAATGATGAAACAGGTAAGTAGTAGCATGAGAATCTGATCACAAATGAACAACAGCAAATATCCTTACTCATGCAAATGCACCTGCCTTTGCATACAAGCATACCTAACTGAATTCATCAGTTAATTCTTGCTCAGCAAAACGTATCCATTAAATTCAATGGGATTTAAGAAAACTATTTATAAGAAGGTATACAGAGATGGGTCTTGTATATTTATGGCTGAAATGAATGGCTTTGCAGAATATGAGCATCGTGTTCAGACAGGGCTTCTTTAAATTAGTCCTGATATTAGCAGAATTCCTGCCTCACATTAATTTGCAGCCCTCAGTCAACCTTTTGTCCTGCCATTCACACAATTCCGGCACTGCCGAAAAGGAGGTGATAACATGTTATGTAAGTGATAACAGTTATTCTGTGGTTCCCTCTACAGTTTTCTATTCACGACCAAGTCAAGAGCTCTGCAAGGCTGAGTCTAATCTGCAGTGTGATAATTTTTCTAAGCCATCATTGAAGTCAATTTCATAAAATGCAGGATGGAGGGGAAAAAAAAGTATTATTCTTTCTATTGCAGTAGTCAATACAGCTAAGAATGAAGAGTTCCCAAAGATTTCAACACAGGTTTTAAAGCAGCAGTTTGAAAGGACGGCTCGGGAAAAGGCTGTTCATTCTGATAAGGAGACTGCAACACCTGCCAAGCAAGCAAAGGTCTGTGCTTTTACTAAGAATCATTCTTTATATAAACAAGAAGTTACGATACTGGTCTGCCATGTAATCTGAATTTCTATTTTGATTATTTAATTGTGAATAAAATGTAAGCTATGTAGGTGGTGGGAATATAGAGAGCTTAGAAATCCAGTGCCTAAAGGACTAGAAAACACATTAGGTCATTTGGGAAGTATTTATACTTTGGGACAAACACAATTAAAAGTAGAACTTATAAAACTTTTAGTTTTCCTGTTTTCCTCTGCTGAATGTAGTCTCCTCTCTCCCTATTTTACATCTGTAAATCTGTATCGTTTGTCACCATAATTCTCAGATGCACAGAAAGCATCTGTTATGTAAGAAATGAAAATGTGTGTTAATCACAGCATAATTTTTTTGCTTATAATGCAAAGTCTGCATTAGTTACAGCAAAATCCCCCAAACTGGTAAATTGTCATTTTTCATTTTGCACATGAAGTACACGCTTCTTGTCACACAGCTTCTAGGGTGCAACAGCACGTGTCTTAGTTCTAAGGGCTGCTTTTATGTGATTCTGAGCAACTGCTGCCAGACTGTTTCTTTCCAGGTCCTACAATCCTGTTGCTCAGATCCTTGCAGAGCTAGGCTTTTATGAAGAATAAAGGCAAGGCTTCTGATCATAGGAATTGCTTCATATATTATATATATTCTTAAAAAAAAAAAAAAAAAAACATTTTTGTTCCCTAAAGATTGCAAATGGGTACCAGGAAGCTACATGGCCATCAGGAGTTAGTTGTTCCTCTGCTACTACGACTTCAGCAAGCAGACTACATGGAACTTCTACAGCAAGGAAAAGGCAGCACGGAACTGCTGCCTCTGCGATGCCTTACACCAGGTCCCCTACGTACGGAAACACAGAAAATTTCCCCACTACTGCCACACCAGCTCCATTGGAAACGACAGAGATTTCCCAGTCCCCTGAACAATCCACCTCTCCAACAAAGTCCACTATCCCCAAAGATTTGTACTCAAAACAAAGAAATGTATACGAATTGAAACGTTTATATAAACATATTCACCCAGAATTAAGGAAAAGCTTAGAAAAAGATTATTTAAATGAGATTTCTGATATTTTATCTAGTGAATCTGAAGCAAGGAATATAACGTCAGGAGATGTACAGCAGGCTAGATATGTTTTTGAAAACACTATTATCCCTCAAAAGTTTACAAGCTCAGAAAAAGAATATTTAGAATGGGATGAAATCCTAAAAGGTGAGGTCCAGTCTATGAGATGGATCTTTGAGAACCAACCTCTAGATTCAATTAAAGATGACTCTCCAGACCCAGACAAAGTTAAAAGCATCGCAGAGCAAGAAATGATTGTAGGTGGAGATGTTAAATACACAACCTGGATGTTTGAGACTCAGCCTATCGATGCACTGGGTGCACATTCTTCAGAATCTGCAGAAACTACAGACAAGATCCCAGAATTAGCTAGAGGAGATGTCCGCACAGCCACATGGATGTTTGAAACCCAGCCACTGGACTCCATGAATAAAATTTATCATGATGAAGAACAGACACCAGATGAGACTTGTGTTAGAGAAATTCCTGGTGGTGATGTAAAAACTGTAAAATACATGTTTGAAACACAGAATCTGGATAAACTTGGGCAGTTATACTCAGAGGATGAAGTTAATTTGCTGCAGCTGAGGTCTGAGCTTAAAGAGATTAAAGGAAATGTGAAGAGAAGCATAAAGCATTTTGAAACTCGGCCATTATATGTTATCAGAGACAACCTAGGTCAAATACTGGAGATTAAAACTGTCCACCGAGAAGACATTGAAAAGGGAGATGTTAGAACAGCACGCTGGATGTTTGAAACACAGCCCTTAGACATGATTAATAAAGACTCAGTGGAAATTAAAGTTTTACGTGGAATCTCCATGGAGGAAAACGTCAAAGGTGGTGTGCACAAGGCAAAATGGCTTTTTGAAACACAGCCTTTGGATACTATCAAAGAGGATTCAGAGGAAACAATCATTCAGAAGGAAACTATTCTAGGCACTGATGTTTCTAGAAAGTGCTGGATTTTTGAAACTCAGCCCCTTGATGCTCTAAAAGAGAATGATGACACATCTCGTCCCCTTCCTGAAGAAATAATAGGAGGTGATGTATCTGGTACTAAACATTTATTTGAAACTTTACCAATGGATGCATTAAAGGACAGCCTAGATGTTGGTAGGCTTCAAAAGGTGGTTGCTACTGATGAAGAAAAAGGCAATGTAACGCATCAGAAATGGGTTTTTGAGACTAAACCTCTTGAACAGATCAGAGAAGAAAGGAAGGAATTTGTCAGAACTGTAAAGCTTGAAGAAATTGACAGAGGTGACGTGAACAGCTACAAAAAAATATTTGAATCAAGCAATTTAAAGAAATATGATGAATCACAAAAAATTTACGTGGAGGGTGTAGTACGAGGAGCTGTAGAGCTGAACAAAGCTCTTTTTGAAACAACTCCTCTATATGCAATTCAAGATAGTCACGGTAAATATCACGAAGTTAGAACAATCAGGCAAGAAGAAATTTTAAGAGGTGACGTAAGGAGCTGCAGGTGGCTATTTGAAACAAGGTCTCTTGACCAGTTTGATGAAAGTGACAAAAAAATCCAAATTATTAAGGGAATATCTTCACAAGAAGTAATTTCTGGTGATGTGAAAACAGCTAAATGGTTGTTTGAAACTCAGCCTCTTGATGCAATTAAGCATTTTGGTAATGTGGGAGAAGAAGAAGAAATTAAAGCAGAACAGAGGACAGACATTGTTAAAGGAGACGTAAAAACATGTAGATGGCTTTTTGAAACGCAGCCAATGGAATCACTGTATGACAAAGTTGAGGTGGTGACTGACAGTGAAGAAATACATAAAGGAGATGTCAAAGCCTGTACTCAGCTCTTTGAAACACAGTCACTGGATGCAATAAAAGATGGTACAGAAACAACAAAAAAATTACACACTGTGAATCGGGAGGATATTCAGGGAAGTGATGTCCGTACAGCATGTTGCCTTTTTGAAACAGAAAACCTAGAAAATATACAAGGAGAAGAAGGCAAGGAATTAAAAAGAGTAATGGAAATTGATATTCAGCCTGGGGATGTTTCAACTATGAAGCAAAAATTTGAAAGCCACTCATTAGACTCCATCAATTTCAGTTCAGAGGAAGCTCTGGAAAAAATTAAAGCTATTCAAAAGCAGGAAATACAGAAAGGAAATGTTTTACATTGCCGATGGCTTTTTGAAAACCACTCCATTGATGATATAAAAGCAAATCAGGAAGACAGTGCCTCAGTCAAAACTGTAGCAGATATAAAGGGGGGAAATGTGAGAAAAAGTTGTTTTATTTTTGAGACTTTCTCTTTGGACCAAATTAGAGATGAATCTGAAAACACCAGCACCAAGAAAACCATTAGTGAGGAGGAAATAACAAAGGGAAATGTTAAAAACTATAGAATGATGTTTGAAAATCAATCACTCTATGCAATTCAGGACAAAGAAGGGAATTATCACGAAGTAACAACAGTTAAAAAGGAGGAAGTGATTCATGGAGATGTATGTGGGACAAGGTGGTTGTTTGAAACAAAACCTTTAGATTCTATTAATGAATCAGATAATGTATACATTATTCGAGCTGTCACCCAGGAAGATATTCAGAAAGGAGATGTGAGCTCTGTCAGGTACAGATTTGAGACTCAACCATTGGATAAAATTTCAGAAGATGAAAAAATAACCGTGCCAACCATCTGCAGTGTTATAGGGGCTGATGTGAAGGCCAACAAACGATTATTTGAGTCTGAACTGCTAAATAAGGGCACATATGTAAGAACTGTGAGTGTCAGCGAAGTCCAACAAGGCAATGTCAAAACTGCCACCTGGCTATTTGAGACACACACTCTAGATGAGATTAGAGCAGAGGGGTCAGAATATAAAGATGTTCGAACAGTCACAAAAGAAGAAGTGCAAGAAGGTGACGTTCAGCATGCAGTGTGGGTTTTTGAAAACCAGCCACTGGATTCCATTAAAGAAACTGATGAAAGTGAAGTAAGAACAGCTAAGGAAGACATTCCACAGGTGGATGTAAAAACAACAACATGGCTCTTTGAAACAACACCCTTCCACGAATTTAATGAAAGTAAGGTTGAAAAGCAAGAAATTATAGGCAAAAGTATCAAAGAAACTCTAAAAGAACTTTACTCTCAAAAAGTTGTGGAGTCTCATGGAATTATCATTGAGTCAGATGAAATCGGAGATGTCAGAATGGCAAAATACAAACTAATGAATCAAAAGGCACCCGAAATACAAAAAGAAGAGATTATTAAAGGGGATCTAGGCAACATAATGATGAACTTGCTGTCCAGAAAAAGCACGACCAAAAAAGAGATTGTAGTAAATGATGATGAAAAAGGCAATGTTAATTTGACCAAAGCTCAGTTACTGAACAGATCAATAGATGATCATGTTGAAAAAGAAGAGATCGTGAGAGGTGATATACAGCAGGCTATTAAAAAGCTATTTAGTAAGGATAGCTCCATAAAACAAGGAATCTTAATTCAGGAAAATGAGAGGGGGGATGTTAACATGACAATATATTCTCTCCTTCACAAAAAGGATGGACATAAAATCCAACGCGATGAAGTGATAGGTGGTGATGTGAAACGTACCATTCACCGCCTCCTGTCTTCTATAGCAAATAATGAAATATCAGAACGGGCTAAAATAGAAGAAAATGAGAGAGGCAATGTTCAGTTTTTCACAACCTGCATAGAAGCTGGAGCGTTGGACTATCTGAAACTGTTCCAAACAGGGTCAGATGAAACATCAACAAATGAGAAACAAGAGGAAGATGAGGAAATAATTGCCGGTGATGTAGAAGGCACAAAGCTGTTGCTGAAGAAACACAGGTTCCCCATTCAACGTACAGTTGCTGAAGCTGACATCATCCCTGGAGATGTGTGTAATGCAGTTAAAAGTTTCACAGCAGAGCCACAGGATATATCTAGTCATATACAGAAAGAAGAAATTATAAAAGGTGATTTGAAGGCAGCTTTACATTCCCTCAGCCAGGCCATAAGTCAAACAACAGTTAGAGAAAAGGAAGAAATTATAAAAGCTGATATCCTGGCAATATTGAAGTCACTTGAAGAAGCTGCTTTTCAACTGAAAGAAGCGGAAAAGCCCGAGGTCATACCTGGAGATATTAAAAGGGCTATTGAGTCCCTTGAAAAGGCAATAAACGCAAAAATCGAAGTTCTGAAAACAGATGTTGTTCGAGGGGACCTTGATTCAACATTAAGGTCTTTAAAAGAAGCTCAGCTATCTTTCAAGAGCGCAGAGAGAGGAGACATACTCAGCAGAGATACTCAGATTGCTGAGCACAACGAGCTAGAAATCTGTGCAGAGAAGAAAATGGTACAATCTGCAGAAGGGCGCAGAGATACAAAAAGAACTGCCAAACCAGCTTTAAAACCACCTCAGCAATTAGCACATGGTAACATAACTCAAAATGAAGCGAAGTCTGTTAAATCTCATCATGAACGTTACCAGGAAGTGCAGGCTAAAAATGAGACTTTTCTGAAAGAAGCTGCAAAGGTTACTGAAAAGACACATTTAGCGCAAAATCAGAGTACTGCGTCTCTTGATATTCATCATATTAAACAGATGAATTTACCTAGTTCGCAACAAATGGGCACTGAGAAAATGGAAGAGTCAAGAGAGAAACTTCAGCACAATGGAGAAGAGGACACAAAATCTCTTACTGAACAACACATGAAAAATCAGTCTACCTTCTGTGAAAAAGTTAGAAGAAATGTAAGAGCAGAGAAATCAGAAACATACAAAGCTCTGAAGAAAGATAGGATGTCCAACAGCATGCAGGCCATAGGAAAAACAGAGAAGAAACAGAATTTTTACAATGAACACAAAAATAATGAACTTTCTGAAAGAAACAAAATGGCACCTAGTACAATTTCTGAAGTGTGTGACCACTTTCAAAAGCATGTGGCAAAGAGAGAAACAGAGCAATCTCAGCATCATAGAGAGACTTTTGACAGAAAAGAAACAAACTCTGACCAGGTGCAAGATGTAGCAACTGTGACAGCAGGACAGAGTGCCCAAGACAAAGTCACACAGGAAACACACAGTAATTTTAAAGAAACTGAGAGCAGGAAAATGATTGGTAATTATCAGGAAAATAAGAAATCAGTAGGCCAGTTTACTGGAAAGATTAAAATGGAAGCTACTAAATCAAATGCTCGATTTCCAGCAAAAACTCCTCTGAATCAAGCCAAAAATGTAATGCAGAAAGAGACAACAGAAATGGATTCCCTATTCCCACCTCCACCATCCCTTCCCCCATCACCACCACCTTCAGTTACATCTTCTGAAGGAGAATTTCCTCTACCTCCTCCACCACCTCCTCCTCCTCCGATGTCTGATAAACAGATGTTTCTTCCGCCACCATCACCTAGAGAAAGGATCAAAGCTGAGTTTGATCATTTTCCTCCTCCACCACCACCAACAATAGATGACAAATCTGAAAGTGAGTTCCTATCTGGTCTCCCTCTACCACCACCTCCCCACCATCTTCTGATTCTTCCTACAACGCAACCAAGGCAAAAGAAAAATCATGTTCCTAAATACCCAGAGGAGTCACTGCCTCATCCAGAGCAAACTCACGCCAGAACTCAAGTGACAGGTAAATCTACTGCCGTAGCCTCATCACAAAACCTCACCAAAAGAGAGCCCGCAAGGGGCATGGAAGGTCTCAAGTCCAAAATGCCTCCTAAATTTGAACCAACAGTGCTTCAGACGCGCACAGAGACGGATATCACCAAAATATTAGCAGAAAGTAGCAAGTCTGAAACTCTGATGAACATGGTTAGTCACGAACAGAAACAAGTGAGCAGTCACACAAGAGCAGAGGAGGGAAGACTACTGTCCTCTGCAACAGAAATGGCTAATTATTCACCCAAGGCTCAGGAAGAGATTCTATCAGTCCAGAAAAAGGAGATTTTTCCAGTAATGAAATCTCCTTCTGTTCCTTCAGAGAATGAAACACAAATAAAACCCAAGCCTCATATTCGAAAATTTGTAACTCCTTTAATGATAGCTGAAGAAAAATACAGACAACAAAAGGAAGAGACAGAGAAAACAGAAGTCAAAAATTATTGCTTTGACTCAGCTAGAACAAACAATAATATTCAGGGAAGTCCAGATGAAACGTTATTACAGAAATCAAACAAGCAAGATCAAGGTCCTGCACAAGGAGCAGCAGCCCCAGGGATGCCAGAGAAAAGTACAACTTCTGATTCTGATATTCATGTCAATTTACAAGCAAGAGGCTTCAGAGGCGATTTTTATCTATCTGCATCATCGGCCACCAAGCAGCTTCAGAAAGTTTTAGAAGGCTCAGAGGAAGATCACAGTAGTAAAAAAGCACTACCTGGTGCAAAAGATAACATATGTCAGACAGAAAAAGCACATCCAGATCAGACATTACTTAAGCATGAGCAGCTGAAGAATGTGGAGCAATTGACCAAGTCTCAAAATATAATCAGTCCACCAACATTCAAAGTTAAAACTATTAAGCTTCCCATTGGAGAGCAGAGCTTGCAAGAGACTCATGAAGATTATGAAATGCAGCAAAACCAGCAGGGAATTGATGTTCAAAATATTTTCATGCAATGCAATCAGAAGAAGCAGAGTGAAGACATAAGCCTTACCATCAAGAAAAAAGAAAAAACTGCAAAGCAGTATCACCAAGAGCACATTAATGGGAATGTATTAGCTGAAAAAACACATTCAAAATTTACACAAAGCAGGCATGAATCTCAGAAACAGGAATTCAACCAAATGAAACAAAAATTAGTTAATGAAAAGGAAACAAGAAAAGGTGAATCCAGACATGAGAAAATCTTGCTGAAGAAAGAGATAAATGAGGCCCATGTAGCAATTAATCCAGAGAAAGACATGGCAACAATTCAGAAAAAACAGGAGCAGCCTAAGATTAAACCAGCAATGAAAGCAGTCAAGGGAAAAATAAGTGACAGGCTGCATGACTCACAGACCCAAATTACCCAACAAAAGAACGTGTGCGTTTCTGAGAGTAGAGTCCAAAAAACAAGCGAGTCCCAGGAATATAACAGGCTGCATGAAAATGCCTGTGTCAAACACAAAGGCATACAAGTAAAAGAAAGACTCCTAAAGAAAAAAGAACCCAAACAAGAAAATACACATAAAAATTCTTCATGTTCTTCCTCACCACTGTATCCTGAGGAAAAATGTGCAGTAGACATAGTAGATATTTTGAGAAAAAAAGAGGAACTGCAGGAAGTTTTGGGTAGGGTGAAACAGTTTGAAGATGAGCCAAATAGAATTGATCTAAAAACATTTAAGACATTTTTAAATATTATCCCTGTTTGGCTAATAGATCAAGAAAGAAAGAAAAATGTAGCTCATACTATAACAGAAAATAATTTTGAAAAAGTGAAAGAAGAACTATCTGATATTAAACATCAAGCAAGCCAAATGCTTGCCTCATATGAAGATTCAATCCAAACTGCTGTCTCTTCAAGAACAGTCAAATCCAGAAATAATAGCACTACTTATCTAGGTCCTTCCCAGAAAATATCAGGCATTACTATTGGCTCCAATAAAAAAGACCTGCCTAAAACCACAGGCTCTATTAAAGCAGAAGCAGTGCATCAGGAAGCTCAACAGCAGTGCAATGGACTTGGCCAGACAGAATCCAGGCCTTCTCCAGCACTAAGAATGAGATCCCCATCTCCTACTTACATAACAATTGAATCTAGAAGGACAGACTCTCCTCTAAGGGGGACACCCTCTTCCCCTACTCAAAGAGAAGGGACTTCGTTTCCTCTCCCACATCCCAGATCTGCAACATCAAAAGCTGAAATCCAACATCCACAGTCTTCTCCCTCTCCTTCAAGAAGCCAAGCTGAGCAACTGGCTAAGCTGAAAGACACCACAGCAAAACTATCACAAGGCGCAACACAGCATCGAGCTGTAAATCCACTTCCGATTATAGAAAAAAGATCAGAAATCGTTAAATCTCCTGCAACACTTCGCCGACAAATTAAGATTGAAATGCACGCTAGGAAACCTTTATCCTCTGTAAAGTCACCTGTATATGAATCTCAAGTAACTGCTGGTACAGTAAAAAATACACAAGAAACACAAGAAAAAAGACTACATGCAGAGAAAAACCAATACTTGTGCCAAGAGCAATTAAACATTCCAGAACACTTACAGTCTCAGAGTGAAAGTTCAGATTCCATCTCAGTGACACAAAAATTTGAGAGTCCTGGGATTCATCGGCCAGGGCTTATTCATAGGTTTGAAGCATCAGAGACAGTAACATACACACAACATGAACCAACTACAGTAGTTGAGAGGTTAAGTAACGAAGGTGCATATGAAAAGGGTAATTTTTTAGGAAAATTTGAGGACAAAGTCAAGTCAATGGAAAGAGATTTCAGAAGTGGTGAAGCAGATAGCAAAATAAAGGACAGAACCCACATATTTAACCGAGATGAGTTCTGTATGGACAGTCAAAGGCAGAAAGCTAGTTTCCAAAACTCTTCTTGCTGGCAGCTAAGAGAAACAAAGCAAGATATATCTTATAAAACAGGGCAATGTAAAGATAAAGAACAATCATTTCAACCTGCAGTATGTTTGGAAACTAAGTCCCATAACAAGTGTTCTTCTGATAGGGATACATTAAGAAACACAGTAGTTGAATCAAGAACTGCTACTTCAGCCTCACAAAATGCTAACAGTACGCAGTCAGGATTCAGCTTCAAGCATGCCCCCCCAACATATGAAGATGTTATCTCTGGACATATTCTGGATATTTCTACTACTCAATCACCAGAAGAGCTACTGAAAAATTTTCAGAAGACGTGGCAAGAGAGTGAACAAGTTTTTCAAAGTCTAGGTTACACTGTCTCAGATACTTCTGAAACAGAAATGAGAAGCAGCTTCCATGAGGAAGCAGAGTATTTCAGTGGTAAATAAGCATGCAAAGTGTGAAAAACTAAAACAATTTTAGACATTATCATTCATCATTAGCATGCTGTGAAGTGAGGAAAAATATGTTAAATCAAAGGATGAAATAACAAACAAAACTAACAAACTTTTCTTAACTTTTGCTCTCTGTCTCTCCTCTTGTCTCAGCAATCTTTTCCCATCTTCCCTTTCCAAGGGCATCTCCTTTGAGTGATGTGCTGAATGTGTGCCTAACAAATACTGACAACAAATGTTGAGTTTTGAGGCCTTTTTTTGCTAAGGTAAATACTGCAATTGAACTGGTACGACAAAAGATTGCATAAAATCATTACTATCATATTTAAGAAATACTAACATGTTAGAAAGTGTGCACAGTATACATCTGATTTGTAATGCTTGCAATAATGCATTTTACTCTTGAGATGGTACTGCCTGTATAACATAGCTATAATGTTTATTTTTATACAGACTTGTTTTTATCTCATGAAAGCACAAGATGTGAATGATAACAGAATGAATTATATTTAGATTGACTTAGTATTTTAGTAAAATTACTGACATGGTTTACAAAGCACCATGCATTTAAAAAAAAAAAAAAAAAAAAAAACTTCAATACTTCCTGTTGCATGATTTTATCTATTGATACAACCCTAGTCTGAATTAAGGCAGCAAGCATATTATCTGATGCTTGAGTACAGGTCTCACATCATTAAGGAGCTGAGCCACAGTAACTGATTTCCCTCAAAAAAACACCCTGAAGCTGTCTACTTTTTCATATTGAAGCATATGATAACAGAAGGTACAATCTTTCCTCATAGTACATGCATTACATGAAAAAAACATTAAAATAGTATTTAGATTACTAGAACCTATGAAAATTAGAAAGTACTATACTTGCTGTTACTTGATAAGCTTTATTACCGTCCTTTTGCACATCTAGTTCATGTTAAAATCTTTTAAGTCAGTAGGAATACCCAGTTTCCAGGAGAATCAAGCCTCTGCAGCCACTTTCAACCTTTCTACCTGGGAATATTGCCCACCAGCCTCATCCCAAATTATTTTTCCAGACTGTTCACATGATTAGTTTTCATGATGATGGGCATTTGGATCAGCTATTCAGCCCTGGAAGCTCCTTTGGGACAAAAAAGACTCCCTCTTTCTACTGACAGCCACCTTTCAAGGCAGAATGCTCATAACCCCCTCGCCAGCTGCAGTGCGACAGTATTCCAGGAGATACCTGCCTTGTTTTTTGCCTTCCCAATTACCTTCTGTCTTTCTATACTGTCACAAAGCTTGATTCTTTTCTCCCTCTTTACACTCAGAATACTTAAGAATACTAATTTAAGTTGATCCTTATGATTGACTGACACAACCAATCTAAAAAAGGACAAAAGCTGCATTTAGACTACCAGGAGACATGCAGAAATGTTGGTTAAAATATAAAATCCACTCAATCCCAGTTTGTCTTTCAACTTTGAAACTAAAGTTAAATTTCAAAAATTCTATTTAATGACCAAGAATTTCTTTTTTTTTCATGGTAGTTATTCTTTTTAGAAGTTCTAGACTATTCTGAAAATCCTTCATTTCTGTTAATATTTTTCACAACTCGTTACAGATATGTTGTAACTACAGCTCTAATTAAAATCGACACAATTTTTCTGTCTTATGAATTACTATAAAATCAATACCAGCAGTCAAATGAAAACAGATACAATGTAGTAATGGGCCAAATTTTTTACAAATGTCAAGAGGCATTTCTCTGCTGGTGTCATTGAAGATATATCTATTTCAACAGTAATTTGGTCCATTCTTTGTATCTGCCTGCTAGTACAGTTTTCATAGCAATTCATAAATCAAGCCCACATGATTGTCCATTATCTCCTTCTTTCTTCAGCCTCTCACTGGTATAAAATAAACCTTCTATGTGGGCTTTGCAGTTTAGAGAAGATTAGCTTCCTTTATATGTAATTACGCTTCATAAAAGAAAGGGTTTTTTATAGTTAGCTAATATCATGACTGTAGCTAACTCAGTCTTAAAAATTAATGAAACAATCAGGTCTTAAAATTAAGATCAAAAAACTCAAAAATCACAAATAATCATATCCATAGTATATCTAGATGATAAGAATGTGCAGTCTGCACACTGCCACACAAGTGGAGCTCCTTCAATGTGCTTTTGGCATGATTAAACAGAATTTCTCCATCACAATTTCAAGTATCTTTCCCCTCTACCTCAAAATCATACTGTAGATTTATGTCATATATATACTAGATCAGTTGCAGTCATATTAATAAACATTTTATTATCTAAATTCACAAAATAAATATTTATTAAGATTAAATAGGAAATACTGTGCATGAGAGAATGAAGTGGATTTTTTCATCTTCAAAGAATTACTGTTAGTTAAAGAAATGGAACCCTAAAATTAATAGCCATCAGGAGACAAGTAAACAGAAGACAACTACAACTCTGAGTGTAGTAAAACATATTTAACATGGACTAATAAAATTAAAACATAGTTTTGGGCTACAGATTTTTAATATCTATCATATAATGTTTGATTCTAGAAACTGCAGCTTCAGGAACAGGAAATATGCACACTTTGTCAACAGAGAGTCTATCCAATGGAATGCCTAATCGCGGACAAGCAGCATTTCCATAAATCATGTTTCCGATGTCACCACTGTGGCAGCAAATTAAGGTAAGAACTAACTGCATGTTCAATCATAAAAAATCTGCATCCGAATATAAATGGTTTATGTTCTCCCTTAAAAAGCATGACTTCTCCTTAAAGGAACTGCATACTTTTGAAACTGTATTGCAATTTGTAAATTGCAGTTTGTAAATACTTATTTTTTATTCCTGTTTAGACTTGTGTGGTATCTTGAATTCACTCTTTTTATTCCTTATTTCTTTATAAATACTGTTGCATGGGATATTTGAAATACAAAGTGTCAAATTCACAACAGATTTAAGCGTAATAGATTCTCTTTTCTATTTGACAGCTTAGGAAATTATGCATCTCTCCATGGAAAAATATACTGTAAACCTCATTTTAAGCAACTTTTCAAGTCTAAAGGAAATTATGATGAAGGTTTTGGACACAAGCAACATAAAGAATTATGGAATTCTAAATATCAAGGTAGCTCAGCTGGCAATATTCACACTGAAGAAATAAGTTCCATTAATGGTACACTTGTTGAACCTAAAATAATTACAGAAATTGATCAAGACTTTCACTCAGGTACTGAATGTAACCACCCTGAGATTTTGGACGATCATTTGAAAAAATCCACAGAAAGGGGTAAATTAAAAATTATGTGGCCTCCCTCAACAGATGATACAACACCTAAGAAAATATTTTCTATTGAAGAAATAGCTAAAGTGAATAAGCCGAAGTGGCCCCCAGAAGGTTTTGCTCAAGATGATTTTAGCTTACATGCAAATAAACCTCTGGGCAATAGAAAGGAACTCCAGAAAGAAAACATTCATAGTGATCTGAAAGAGCAAAAGAAAAATGACATTGTGGATGCACAACAAAATCAATGCTCATCTTTTAGCTCTGTATCTGCAAAAGGAGCTACAAGTGTGTGTGAAGGAAAGACAAATGAAATAGTCAATAAAGGAAAAGATGAGGAAACTGAGAATGTGCAAGATAAGCCAAAGAAAACAGGAGGATCACAGGCTAGGGAGGAAAGTGTTAAGGATAGTAATGAATGTGTGCACATCGCTGAGAAGGGGCAAGAGAAAAAAAATAATGAAACTTATGATGTAGAAGTTGTACAGGTTACTAACATTGATGATGAAACAGTACAAAAGAATGAACAGTTCGGCTCGAATAACACTAACAATAACAACAACACCATTTTTTCACACGTGAACATTTGTAGCCAGGAAACCTCTCTCTCAGCTACGTCTAACCCAGTGACAAAATTAAGCCACAAAATTTTCACAGCATTTCAGCATGCATTTGAAAAGCTGGAAGATCAGTCTGGAAATGAAGCAATACTTGAGATACCTGAATCCCAAGAGAGCTATTCTAGTGACTGTGTAACTGTTTCATTGGTTGAACAGAACTGCAAAGATAAGGATGCTGTTACCTGTAATAGTCTTGTTCAATTCAATAAAGATGCCATTTGTCAGAAGTCCTGTGCTCATACCACATTAATTTTAAGGGAGGCCACTAATACAACATTCCCTAATGATGCAGAGTTGGTATGCACTGGGGAAGAATCAGAGCATGACCAAAACGTAAATATTACTTTATCTGACACCATGAAAACATCTTATTTTCTTCATAAAGACAGCCTAGCTTCAAACGATGGTCTGTTAGATGCTGTAGACATAACTAAAAATTCTTCCAGCCCATATTCAAAAGAACATGGGAATTATGATCTGGAACTGAATGATATTAATGACTGCCAAGAAGATGAAATAATCAAAGTGTCAGAGAATGGCATAAGCACAAGTTCAGATTTACTGAGCTCAAGACATTCAGCTGTTCCATCATCCCAAAGAGGGAAAGTTAAGTCTGAACAGCTCACTATAGAAGAACAAATTAAAAGGAATAGATTCTATGATGAAAATGAATAAAGTTGATAAATGATAAGCTACATTTGTCACAAGTGGTAAAATGTTATTTATGTCTGCACTAATGGTTTAGCGTTTATTCAGTCCAGTTATTTTATAGTACTCCTTAAAGAGCTTAATATCCACAGATTGTATATGAAGATGTGAATTATATACCATCAATTACTCATTCAGACTTTACTTAGTTTACATTTACAGGAAGGAAGAGGCAAAAATGAGCAGTATTTTTTCAGTGTTATGAAAACAGCTTGTCTTTCTGTTGTCAACAACTTGTATTTCTATACTGCAAGAAACAATAAGAATGTCTGCCGAAACACAATAATTCAATTTTATCCTTTATCATTTGTAACAAGAGGTGAAGCACCTGGTGTGCACAAAATGATGAAAAATATTTCCACATCTATTTTTTTCATTTATTATTATTATTGTAACTCAATGAGCTGTTGCTCCATGACATTTTATGTACATTTGTGTTGTTAGCTTATATTAGAGGATTTTTTTTTGCAATATCATCCAGTAGGTAGCTTGAAATGCACTAGTTATTGAATAGTATCCAGAACTGGTTGGCAAGTAGTTCTGTTTTGCTGTATTCCTAGAATTAGCATGGCATTCTATTGCATGACAGGAGAGGGTGGCAGGGGAAAGTGTGTACATTTTAAAGCAAACAGCATTGAGCATTGAAAATGTCCTAATCAACTAGAACAATACCCAAGACTTGGGCAAACTGGACAACTAAGATCAGTGATTCTTTAATAACTAATTCAAAATCATTTAAAGTGAAGCAGCACCCCAGTTTAGTATTTAAACCTGTAAAAACTTTTACAGATTTAGCACTGTATTATTTGCTCCCTTAACATTATTGTAGCTTGCATGAAACAGCAACTGTTGATAATGCATAATAAAACAGCACTTCACAATACATATTTTGTTGAGTTTTTCTTTTGAAACTAATATACAAATATGGTTTTCTTTAAACAGCTTCTGAAATTCTTCATGCTAGTTATTTTAATCTAAGCTTACCAAAGGGAGAAAAAAAAGAAAAAGAAAAATGGAAGTTTTAAAAAATATTTCTAAAGTACCTGTCAGAGACAACTCTTTGTAATAAGTTACACTTAAGATAAACTGACATTAAAAACATTTAAGAAATTTCTGTGCAGATATCCAGAACAAAATACCTGCTGCAGTATAGCACATTGCCCAAAGGAAAGGAGTTGTGGGTGGGTGAGTGGGATATTGGTTTATGACTGTTCATCTATAAGAAATATCTATATAGCCAGCAAAAGACTCAGATAAAGGATTTAATGAAACAGCATAAGGAAATATTTATTCAGCAGGAATAATGCATACAGTCAACATATAGGAATAACATACCACATGGAGCTCACCTACCCAGCTATTCTGTCATTGGGATTCTGCTTAACATGGGACAGAGCAGTGCAGATTCATTTGCATTCCACTATCTTTCAGTGGCTGGACATTTCCTTCTCTCTAGTAGTGAGGATGAACACTAAGGAAAAGCATATATGATACTACATGATTATTTCTTTGAAACACAAGCCAAGTTCCCCATCATACTGTACAGGAATTCTCACATAAATCCTAAGGGTGATACTCTGCAAATCTGTTTTAGAAAGCTATTGGTCACGGCTAATCAAGAATTGAAAAAGAGTGTATTTTATCTCCCTCCAAAACAAACAAAAAAAAAAAAAAAAAAACCAATGTTTTTCATAAATTCAGACATCTTAAAGGGGGAGTCATCAGAGACAAGATGAGGCTGTAACTCCAAGATGTGGGTGTGTTTTGCTCTCTTTTCCACAGAAGGCAAAAGAGAAGGGAGATGATATATGTCTGGGTCATATTAATGTATCTATACAACACCACTACACAAGTCACACTCCAGGTTGTAAATGCCCACAGCAGCTGAAAGTGAGACTGGAATAAAAGCTGTAGCTAGAAGGAAGTAATATTACAGATTTTCTTTAAATCACATACTGAATGAATGCTAGCTCCTTAGCTGGCAAAAAAAAAAAAAAAAAAAACCCACACAACCTGTCTGAACTGCAGAGTCTCATGCAGTTCAGAGAGAGCACAGAGATTTCCAGCAGGTAAGGAACAGGTCTTGATGGCTTTAAAAAGAATAGCATTTTTAATTATTGCATGGTTTTTTGAGAAGATGTCATTTTCAATTTTCTCTAAGTTTAGGCTTTACTTCAGGCTTTCTAAGTTTAAGCATCTAAGCTAAAGTAACAAGCCATTGGTTTGTAAGAGCCCCTTACTCTTAAAAGAGTCTCACTCTGTGAGCAGGAAAGGTTTAATGCTTCTTAAGAGGGATCAGAGTACTGAAACCCCCACTCTTTCAGGAAGGTAACTTCCTCTGTGCAGTACTAGGCTTCATGCCTTTCCTCTTGGGGACAATATTCAGTAGCACCTATGAAGGGAACTTTACAGGCATGGATGATAGAAGTGGTCCATCACCAAGGCCAGCTGCATCCAAGAACTGTATCAAATGCTACAGCAGCAAATGCTGCCTTTTTTTTTTCTGGTAATTGCAACATGAAAGCAAAGCTGCACCGACAAGCAGCAGTAAAACTGCAGCCTTATTTAGCAGAGATTTGCAATCTCACAGGTCTATTTTCACTAGGTATTATCAGCTAGTGAAGATATTTTACTGCTTTTAGAACACAGCAGGGTTCACATTCCCATATACTGAAAAGCAGCAATTAGAGGGATTAAAGAGCCTGATTTAATGTCTTGTTAAGGAGCTTCTGCATTGTTGGATCAGTCCTGGACTTTATGGGACTTCCAAATTTGCAGTCCCCTTGCAGCTTCATTAACATAATTGGCACAAAGACTTGAACAGAGCTACTTAAATTGCTTTTATAGATGTAGTCCATCAGCTGATCCCTTTGGAGACTTAGTAGAGTCAGAGCCATCCTCAAAGCTACAGAAAGACCTAAATAACCTCTCACTATTCTGCTGAAGTGGACTGCTGGGCAGACAGCTGCTGAAGCGGACTGCTTGGTTAATGCACAAGGTTTATCTTCCTGGTCTGTTTTCTGCCAAACCTGTATTTCCTTCATACATATTAATAGGTACATTACTTCA